TTTTTATTCAAGTTATTAAACTAGATGTGATAGGCTAACAAAGTATTCAAATAGAGATCCAAATATGCTACAACTAATTGTTTTAAATAATCAGATAAGAAATCGCAAAAAGGAGGAAGGAGAGAACAAGTTATCTAAATCACAAGATAAAATATTTATAGCAGCCCGTCACGAGAGAAACGAAGGAAGAAACGGATGTACGGCTCAAGATTTCCTCTTTTCGTCCAACACCTTGACGTTTAGTCTTCCAATATTGTCTCTTAGTTTTTCAAGAAGTCTTTTAGAATTTTGTAATACATGAATCTAGCAAATTGAGATATATATATAGTTATTTGTGCAAATCCTTTGATTTTTTACATTTTTATTAGTATAAATAGAGATGTAATTGATGATTCTAATCATATCAAGTGGCCTTAAGTAACCTATATAAAACTTGAGTATTCTCCTTCTATAATTCCTACAAATTGGTATCAAGAGCAGATTTTTGTTCTTAATCTGGGGTTAGGTGAAGAAAAAAATATGGCATCCAAAACGAAATGAAGGTGCTAATTCTTCAGTTGTTCTTACTCAATTTTTTGATGGAATTGGTTTGAATACTAGAAGTTAAGAATGAGAATGTATCTGAAAGCTGAAGGTTTGTGGACTACTGTTGTAAATGGCTATGAAGAGCCAGAAAACGATGGTGAACTTTCAGAGATGAAATTTTTTGAGGCTAAGTATCGTCAACAGTACAACAAAAATAGACTTTAGCGATAATTATTTTGCGACAATAACGTAATTGCCGCTAAGGCAAAATATGAGCGACTAATGTATAATTACATTTTTAGTAGCAATTTAGAAGAATAGCTGGAAAACCTTTTTTTTCTAAAAATAAAAAACTCCCGCTGCACAAATCATTTTGCTATTCTAATTAAATAAAATCTCTTCTGCGCATAAGGGAAAAAATTAAAACCTAGAAGTCTAGCGACCAATTCATCAGAGCTGTGTCATCAGGAAGCCTATTCCACATAACAACGATGTCCTAAATTGTAGTATCCAGGTACGTGAATCACTCCCCTCCAAAATCTAAGCGTTATGTTGTTTCCTCGGTTTCTGTCTCTATAGGTATAGGTATGTATCTAATTCTTGTTCTCTGTGTGTGTATTGTTGTTATCTGTTGATCTCCTTTGAGATTTCAACACTTTCTTTTTCTTTTTATCATGTTTATTAATCTGTGTTTGCTAAGTCGTGTTGGTGATCTATCGATTTTAATACTTTAATTGTGATTTATTGAATCGATTCCTCTGTTTTGCCTACTATTTTACTATTGACTAAGGCCACTGGTAATATATTTATATATCCTAATCATTTAGATGTTCCATTGTCAATACTGAATAAAAGAATTAGTACATGAGAACTGTTATTTCATTTTGACAACGACTTAAATCATTTCTAACAAAATTTCACGTTTAGCAATTACATAGAATCCCCTTACTGTAAATGCATCCCTCTCTGCAACTTGGACGTCACCTTACCAATAATTTTTTTCCATAAGCTTTCTATTAATGACATTCATGTTAGTTACTTGAAATCGTGATTATAAATTGCTAAAAAAGTCTGTCATCTGAATTGTATTTCAGGTGGATGTGAACTATTAAGTAAGTTTGTTTGTTTTATTCGAATCATCTCAGCACAAATATAACTTCCAAGTACATGACTCGAATATGATGTAATTGTTAATTGGCAATGATCTAGATGTTATAACAGTAGGTAATAATATTGTATTACTACCTTGAAATTTGACGGTTTCAGTTGTTTTTATGAGAAATTATCGAATATGTAGATGTCTTGATCATGTTTAGTTTTTCTTTTGACCTCCATGTTTGACATTTAGGAGTTTGTAATCTCGAATGCAATAACTAATGTCTCGGGAGTAAGATCGTTATTAAGCTTTTTATTTTCGTATAAAATTGGAAAGCAACTAAAATTTGATCAATTAGTTGATATCCAGTTACATCGACTAAAGATCAAGCAAGAGTTCTAACGACGGCTAGTTCAAAGTTGAGTCTCATTTTATCATTCTTTGTCTTTCACTTGGTTTTATTTCTCCTTCCTTTTCACATCCCAAATTAGGCTTTTGGCCTAAGTTGGTTATTCAAACAAACCAGTGATTCGAAGAGGTTTTTGGGGTGAGAAGTTCGGGGCAATTTGGCTCAAGGGGTTTCAAAATGGTTGTCAGCAAATGGCTTAAGCTCAAATAGTGCCAAAATGGTTGCACACCCTCACAAGGTAGTCATAAGAAGGATATGAAAATTTGGCTCCCTCTCAAAATTTCTACCCAAGATCATTGCTTGCATTCACCAAAGCTAGAAAATTGGACTAACAAGGCAAAATCTAGGATTCAACAAGCATGCTTCCAAGTAAAACCTCACCATACACGACACTTCAAATACAATCATTTAGCACAACCCGAAAAGATCAAAAACTTATGTGTGATGTTCATTGCAAGGCTCATATCAAAACACAGCTATTCAACACAAGATTCAAAAAGATCATTCAAAAGTGCAACCACATCGATTTGTTCTTGCAACAGAAACACTAAACACAATTATCATCATGAGTACTATTCAAGACATCGATATTGAACACAATTGATCTTCAAATTATAATCAATGAAAACTCAAGCATTTTAATGATTTCCAAAACTCATGGAGCAAAATGAAAATTTAGAGAGAGACAATGAGCCAAGCCCATCAAACTACTATAGTAAAACCAAACAATATACTAAAATAATCCAAAAATAAAACTAAAAGTAATAGAATACAATAAAAAAGGAGATATATTGACACAAGTGTCCTCACCCCACCAAAATAGAAATGGTAGTGTCCTCAATGTGAAATAAAATAAAGAGTACGGGAGGAGAGGTAAAAGTTTCCCTAACAAGCTATGCCTATTGAGTAATCGCATTAGGAGTCTTACGAGGAGTGGCATTCATGGGCATCAATGCTCGAAAAAATGATCACGGGAGGCTCAAACAGAGCATCAGTGCCTGACACATTAATAGGAGGAATGGTAGAGTCTGAAGAGACCACACTGGTGTCAACTACATAGGTATCCTCAAGGAATCTCTCTAGGGTAGCATGGACCATCGTCTCCTCAAGGTCCTGCAGCTCAGTCAGTAACCTGCAATCCGCTGCTCATCCTCTTCTCTCCACAACTCCTCCTTATTTGTCTTCTTGGCCAAATTATCATCGGCCTTATCCGCATCTCTCTCAATACTATCATCAACAAGTATATCATCTTCACTCAACTGCTCATCCACACTTTGAGGAAGCTCACCACTAGGCATAGACGTAGGCATAGACTTAGGTGCATCAGGCAAGGGAACCTCGCCCCATAGCATCGATATGTCCGTAGACCTCAGCTGGTCTACATCAACCCTCAAAACATCTATCTCAGTCATTATTAAAGATGTCCACATCTAAACTACCCTCAGCCTTTTATTGGGCCTCTAACCTAGTAGTAAGGTTATCCAACCTCACGTCATATGACTCTATAAAGGCCTCACACTGAGTCAACCTAACTCTCAATAGAGCCAAAGTAACCTCAATAGTCCGATCAATCATCATGGGCACATCTTTCTCAACCCTCACTGCCCTCACTTTCACAGACCAGGAAAGATTTCCCATTTGATAGATAATGGTCTGGGTCAAGGGGGACGGGATATAGGAGCGGAGGCAAGTGCAACAAAAGTGGAAGTAGAGGGTACTGAGGAAGGTTGAGGTATACTTGAGCGCTCCACAAAAGAAGCGGATGGAGTGGCCTCAACAGCAAGAGTGACAAGATCAACCATAGGTGTAGTGTCTAGTGGTGGTGGCTTTCTCCGAGCCGCATCATCCCATAGATAATCAACCTCAATCCTCTGGATGTCATTGGAAGTGGCCGGGGTGATCCTCACATCAGTCTTTCCCCGAAAGGGAACTCCTGTATTTTCACAAAGTGGTGTGATTAAGATTGAAAATGGGAGCAAAGTTTGTTCTTGCCTGGCCCTGAACAACATCTCATCCACAATGATCGATCCTACATTAATTTTCTCCCTATCAATAATTATAGCCACTAACACAACCTTTGGATGTCGAAGGATGGACTTGTTTTAGATATATTAAATTTTAGATAGTAAATATGAAGGAAAAAAATTAACTTGAACCTTGGCACTTGAATTTAGAGGTAAATTTTATTTTAAAAGGTACAAAATGTATAAAATAGATAGTTTTTCTCAGTTCCATAATTGAAAAAGAGAGAAAAAATAAAGAGGATAAAAAAATAGGGACAAAAAAGAGAATTTTTTTTTAAGAAGGAAACGAAAAAAAGAAAGAAAGAAAAAGAAGGAAAGGATTTTAAAGAATGAAAAAAAAGGAGTGGAAAAAACGTAAGAAAAAAAAGAAGACAAAAACGAGTTTAAGAAAAAAAAAAGAGAAACATAACTCTCTTTAATTCCAGTTAGTTATCAAAATACAAGCTTTGTTGACCTTATGATGGTCAATTGTGAACTTAACCTGGTTCCAGGGAAGTTCCCTCTGCTATCCATTTCTTATTCATTCTGCTAATTTAACTATTTTTACCACAAAGAGAAGGAAAAAAAACGCACCTTTGCTGCCAAAAGATGGTACCATATTACATGTTAGCTCTGCTCATTTATATTCCTTTCGCTTCGACCGTAATTGATCGACCTCTTATGCAAGACACAACAAGCATCTAATGCTTTCGAGGCAATATTAGAAGCACCCGCAAAACCTAAGACCAGTACTCTATCCAATTTCAGGTCATAGAGACATCATGTGAGATAAAACAGTCCATAGAATAGCTATTTCATTAAACAGTAACATCCCCAGCAAGAATTTCTAAGGTCTAATATATAGTTAGATCATTTAAGCACTGAACTTGCGCTCATAAAGAAATGATGCAACACCATAGCTTTGATTTGTAAAAATAACATAAGAATGGTTTCAAAGCGGATGCAGTAAAAGAAGAAAATACAAGTGCATTATTTCAACATTAATGACACAACAAGAAACATGAACTGCATAAATAATGTAAACTGAAAAAGTAAGATTTTGGGGCTCCTGAATGATGCTTGGATAAATAAATGGAGATTCATCATGTTCTCTTTCGTTATTCTCTGCTATGAATGAGTTTTGAGGGTAACAACTGCACATCTTTAAGTACATGTCAGCACAAAAAAGAAATTGCCAAATAAAATGTATGTCGCTTGCTTACGCAAGACCCCTCTGTTTGAACACATCAAGCATTGTGACACCAATTTTAGCAGGAGACTCGCATACTGTAACCCCAGCTTCCTTGAGAGCTTTGATCTTGTCCTGTGCTGTTCCCTTTCCACCAGATACAATGGCTGCATAAGAAAAACAGATCACGGTTAAGAACAAGAAATTTAGACATCTTTTTACAGCATATGCAACATTCATTCTTCAAAATAATAATACAAGAAATCACAAACCAAAAGGTGCTGAGAGTTGCTACTTGCTAGTAATGACTATTCTGTACTAATCAACTGAGGGGGGGTTGGGGAATGTATACAGACCAACAGTTCATCAAATTAGAATATGCTTAATGGATGGATTCATTCAAAGTACTACTCCAATCTTAATGAAAAACACAAGTTCATTAACATTTCCTGCCCATATTTTGTCTAGAAGAGAGCAAGGTCAATCAAAAATATTAGTACAACCCATTCAATGTAGGCAAGCTGAACCAGAACAGTACCTCCAGCATGACCCATTCGTCGTCCAGGAGGAGCAGTTAGTCCAGCAATAAATGCAACAACAGGCTTTTGAGTTCCACTTGCCTGTTTCAAGAATCGAAAGACACATAATTTCCCCACCATGTTAAAACAATACAAAAATTAGACATTTAAGAACATATCAGAGCTCAATGACATGGCAAGTATCCGAACATTCAGAAAATTCAGACATTTTCTCTCAACAATATAGTGAATGCTTATTAAAAAAATAACTGCTCAAGATAATTCAAGGAGGGGGGGGGGGGGGTGAAGATTTATGATATTATCAAATAAGGATTCATAAAAAGTGCGTACAGACAGAAGTTCAATAAAGCATAAATTAGTCTGGAGAAAATATAATATCATTCCTTGATATTCCTCAATACATAGTAAGCCATAATTTTGGGATGGCTAACGATGGAATTAGAGCTGTCAATATGGGCTAGGCCCGTTGGGCCGGCCTGGCCTAACCAATGATTTTATAGGGCTGAGCTATGAATTTTGTAGCCCATTTAAGAAAAGGGTTTTTTAGCCCGGCCTGAATAAGCCTGCTGATTTTTGGGGCTTGAGAAATATAGATAAGGGCCGGCCCGTGGGCCAAATAAAAATTAATTAAAAAATAAAGAAAAATAACAAGAGTCTAAACTCAAAATCTGTTTAAACTTTGAAATATTACAATTTAAATACAAATTATGTTTATAAAATATGTACTACATAAAATTAAAATTCCCTAAAATTTCTACGGAATCACTATTGTCATAGTTTTTGTGTTTTATTATGATCATTGGAAAACAATTAGGTTAATATTTCTATTTAGCTATTTATGTTTTTACTTAAAATCAAACTTAATAAATATTATAAAGATAATTTTATTTGTGGATTTGATTAACAAGTAGTAACACTAATACCATGTAATATTGTCTTGTCAATATTTATGATTTTAAATTATAATTTAATTAAAAAAATTATAAAAAATATACTTTTAAAAAAAGAGGGCTGGCCCGGTAAAGCTCGTAGCCCACGTAGTTGTGGATTGGGCCGACCATTTTCTGGCCCACACCAAAAATGGGCTAGCCCGAATGGGGTGGGCTAGCCCATATTGACAGCTCTACGATGGATCTTTGCAATTTCCTGGGAAGGGGAGGCCGTGGAGACATAATCTTTCATATTGCCTACGACAGTACATTTACTTTAAAATTTGAAACTAATCCTGGTGTAGGTACTAACTTAAAGTACAAGAGAAGAGTTACCATTCAATATATGGTTTGACTTTCAAAGAATAATCTTCCAAACAAGGTAGTGGACCCAGATGTGAAGTTGTCACAAGAAAAAGATGGCCCAGCAAAGACTACCATTTATTCCATCACATACAAGATTGGCCAGAGCATCATAACATAATTTGCATCTTAATTGCAAATAGTACTTTGTGATGGATATTAATATTACAAAATTATCACTAACCTTTATCAAGGCTGCGGCATCTTCTTCTGCTGTACCACCGATCTCACCAATAAGAACTATACCTGACATGCAACAGGCACATATAACCCAGTGTAAACAAATTGCAAAGCATAACAATGTGTCTAGTTCTACTGGGGTTGAGATGCAAGCTAAGTGAAAACACAAGCTTCAGTGAATCCACAATGAAGAAAAACTAAATATACATATATAATGCATGAAAAAGTAACTACAAATACAAACAAAAATATCGTTATATGAATTGGATAAACTTCAACTACTGAAATTTATGAAATAAAAACAAGTTCATAAGAAAAATTCAAATTTAGATTTAGATAAAAGTTAATTTGGGTTTTGTGACTAGTTTTCTTGCGCTAAACATCTAATTTCAAATTCCTAATTACTAAGATATTCATTCGTAGTATTTCTTAACAGCTAATGTATCACTATGTCAGCCACATTCATTGCTTAAAATCACCATCTTCAAGACATAGCACATGAGCGATAAGCCATATGCCTTAAGCCTTTGGGGTCATTTGATTTCGAAGCAAGTAATGCGAGGATTGCAACGCAAATTTAGTAATATAGGGATTGAAATGCAATGATTGTCATGCAAAGATACTAATATACGGATTATTTATTATTGGATTTCTGCAGGGGCGGATCTAGTAAGCCCGGTGGGGGTGCCATGGCATGCACAGGCTTCGATCGAAACCTTTTATATATATAGGTATATATAGAGAAGATACAGGTAAATAATATAATTTCCACCCAGAGAACCCAAAGACATTAGGATGCCAGTGGTGAAGGACAACACTCCCACCCTCCAGATGCGAGATTGAACCCTAATGACGTCATTATTTCTAAATTTTAACTTGTTATATCAAAAAAAATTTAAAGAAGGATTGTTGCATCAAATTTTAACTCGGCTGGCAAGGTTTAAAAGCCTATTTTATCTCTTTTTTTTCTTTCTATTTCAGTAATCAGTTGTTTAACTTTAAAACACAAGTTCCCTTCTCTATTATCATATTAAAAGAAACCATTGTTCTTAATACAAAAGTTGTCATCTTACTACTATTCATGTTTTCCTCAATTAATTTCTCTTTAAGGGAGTTCAGAAAATAAAAATATAGTGCTTGAAATTTGACCTTCAAACCTCAAGGTGAATTTTGATTTTCCCTTCAACTGCTAAGTCAACCTTTAATCCTATGTTTAAGATGTTCAAAATATCTATATATATCGTGTTATTTGTTGCCAATGGAGTTCGGATGAACCCTCTTGGTACCCTATAGATCCGCCTCGCCCCACCCTTCCCTTGGCACCCGGAAGTAAGGATGGCAATGGGGTGGGTTTAAGGCTATGCAGGGTAGGGCGAGTTTAAGGTTGTGCGGGGTGGGTTGAAGTGGGTTTTTTTAAAAATTAATGTGGGGAGGGGTGGGTTGCAGGTATATGTGATTTTAAGTGGGTTCAAACTTAATTTTAACTTTTTTACATGTTATAAGAGTGATAAGCATTATTTATAAAAATAATTTATTTAAAGCTACTAAAATATTCAATATAGTAAATGAAAATGGCTCAATAAATGTGGGGCGGGGTGGGTTGCAGGTATATGTGATTTCTTACATGTTTCTTAATTGACCTCTAAAAACTAAATTTTAAGTCATGATCCTATTAACAACTTAATGAAAAAATGAATTTATTTTTCTGAATTTTATTTTTAATATCAAATTTAACTAGAAAAAGAAAATATTAAAAAAATTATGCGGGGCGGGGTGGGGGTGGGGGGGTGAAAATGAAAAAAGTTGTTATGCGGGGCGGGGCGCGTTAAAATTTTTGCAGGTTAAGCTCAACCTGCCCCGCCCCGCCCTGCACCGTCCCATTGCCATCCCTACCCGGAAGTCCAAATCCTAGATTCCCCTCTGGATATCTGGTTTGTAGTATTAAGGGAAAAGGGCCTGATATACCTCTCAACTTTATCAATTAGAGCTGATATACCCCTCATTATGAAAGTGGCTCATATATGCCCCTATTGCTATACAAATGGCTCACATATACCCTTTTCCTTTAACGGAAGTGAAAAACTTAATTTTAATTTAATATTTTTATTATTATTATTTTTTTAAAAATATAATCCCATATTGGGTATATTTAATCCTCCTCACACATTTTTTTTTTTTGACTTTTTTTGTTTCAACGGCTAATTTAAAGTTATTATTTTGATGGTCAAATTTATTTATGTTTCACTAATTTTCTTGTAAACTTTATTATAGATGACCCAAATTTTTTCAATACAAAAACTAAATAACAATATAGTAAAAAAAATAGTTTTAAATTATAATATAGCCACAAAAAATTAGTTTTAAAATTTTCTCTTTACACTAACGAACAAAAGAAAAAATAAAATAGAATAAGAAACTCAAAAATTGATAATCAAAGACGTCAAAAATAATTTATGTATAAATAAGATTAAAATATACCTTGAAATTCAATAGAAGGATCATTATATACCTCTACGTGATTTTTTAAAATTTAAAAGTCAAAAACATAAATTTAATACTATTTTTTTCTACTTCCGTTAAATTAAGGGTATATGTGAGCTCATTTTGTAACCGTAGGGGTATATGTGAGCCGTTTGTATAACGGTAAGGGTATATATGAGCCATTTCATAACGAGGGGCATATGAGCTCCAAATGGCAAAGTTGAGGGGTATATCAGACCCTTTTCCCTAGTATTAATAATCATTATCTGGTATATATTTTATAATATGCTTTTTGAAAAAATATATATATATGTTACTACATGAAGGGTTATTTTCTTCATATAATAGCTCCATGTATTTCTAATCCCGGCAATCTTATTTCACATTCTATCTTGTATAACATATGCATGTATTTCTGAGGACAAGTAAATTGGTTACCAAACAAGTTATGAATTGTGCTTGAACAGTATGCAGAGATTAAGTAGGTAACCAAACAATGTATTAGCTATGCTGAATTGTACACGGATATTAATTCTCCTTGTACACCCAACCAAACAATCCCTTGGAGTATGTACGAACGCATCACCTAAACAAAAAAGAGCTCAACTTGTGCTGTACCTGGCCTCATGGTTTAAGTGCACCTCACATGAATCATGAGCAACACAGATGTAATCAGATAAAATATCCTAGTCCACTACTCATTTCTGTACAGATCTTCGGACTCATCCTTTCTCAACACACACTTTGAAGGAATACTTTTTTTGAGCTTAATCCCAATCATGTAGACATCAAGAAGGATGCTGGGGGCGTTCAATTGTGGATTTAGCAAAACCATTTTTTCCCATCTATCTGGGTTTTGCTTCCTGTCCTTTGTTAAAAGAACTTTTGCATTTTAAGTTTCATATTCTACCAGCTTTTTACATGCTGTTTAACTCTGAGTCGGTGCATCTTAAAATGTAATTATATGATCTGCTAACTATAGAAAATAAACATCAAACTTCTATTTTTATGTTGGTGGTGTCAAGACCTGTTTGTGTGATCCTTGACTAATACACCAGGCAATCTGCTACAACCCACAAGCAAATGTGTTAAGTAAGAGAATTTGCATTACTCATCAGCAAAGAAACGCATAGAGCATCAAAAGAAAGGGAAGGGTAGAGGGGCAGGCCCATTATCCCCAACTTTCAAGGCTGCGTTTAGTAGTAAGGGTTGGCACTAGGTGAATTTCTCAGTCAAAAAATATGCATAGACCATCTTCATAAATGACCAAAAGGCCTGTTGTCTAAAGCAATAATCTTGACTAAGATGAGCAAATATGCTTCAAGAAAGTCTACCTTCTGTCTGTGGATCAGCAATAAATCTCTCTAAGCAATCAACAAAATTTGTACCATTAAAAGGGTCCCCACCAATCCCTACACAAGTTGACTGTCCAAGACCAACAGCAGTTGTCTGAAAAACCTAAACAACACAACATAGAGAAATGTAAGTTTCATTCTGGTCCAGATAGTGATGGTTCCAAATCTTGCATTTTGAGAGAAAGATACCCAACAAAGATCAGATGCAACAAATATAGACTGTTAAAGGTTGAAAGTAATTGTAGTTAGACCAAGCCTTAAGACACTCATATTCAGTGGATTTTAGGCGATATAGACACTTCAAATAATTAAAATCTTACTGCTTCATATGTCAATGTACCAGATCGAGAAACAATTCCAATACGTCCTGGTTTGTGAATGTATCCAGGCATAATTCCAATTTTGCACTCTCCTGGTTTGATAATACCTGGGCAATTTGGACCAATCAGCCGAGTTCTCGATTGCTTCTTAAGAGCAGCTTTTACGCGAACCTGTAGGTTTGAACAGAAAATCAAACATTAGAAGCAAGTTACTGAAACATTAAGTGTGTAATGCTTTTTGTTAGGAGTTCTAAGGTTGCAAAGCAATCACATAAGCTCATATATGAATAAATACCCATAAAAATAGAACTCCCCCAATTGAACTTTTATTTCACCCACCTAAATATAGGTTTATGGCTTGTAACAAAGATTGTCTGTCAAATTTTGTTTTTGTAATTTCTTATTGGATCAAACAGCTAGAACCTAGAGTTTCAACTTTCATGTGCATCAGAACCAGTCAATGCAATTGAATATTTACACTCACATACCTCCCAATAATATATAGTAACTAAATACGAGCAAAATCAACTATCAAAAAGTTTTAACCAGAAGGGGAGTTGACTGAAATGCCACTTGCAGTGTTTTAGATGGCGAAAGGCGATAAAAGGCGACAAAGGTCTGCCTCGCCACAAGGCGAGGCAAGTGGCGAGGTGCTCGCCTTTTTGAAGTGCGGCACCAACTAATACCAAAAAAATAAAATATTTAATTGCATTTGTAAATAATCAAAATCTCAATAGCAATAACATATTAGCAAATATTTTAATTCAAAAACTGAAAATAGATAGTACATACTAAAAGCCTAGAACTTGAATGAGAAAATAAACAAAACAAAAGTCAATAAAGAGGTAGAAGTGACTCTGAAGTCCAAACAAGAAGGAAAAAGAAACCGAGGAAGAAGTAATCTGAAGAAGAAAAGAAGAAAAAGTTTGGCGGGTGCCAAAGGAGTCTAGTCATAAACCCTAAAATTACCTTTTAACTTTTAAAACCCTAAATTGATCGCCTTTTTTAAAGAAAATACCAAAAGTGACGCCTTTCTTGCCTCTCGCCTTTTGTTGCCATGACACCGCTTTTTGAAGATCACCTCGCTAAAAAGCTAAAAGGTGATGAAGGTTCACCTCGCCTCTTGCCATTGGCGACGAGGCGATCGCCTTTCACAACATTGGCCACTTGTTTAGCTTGTAGATATAATGTTCCATTTGCTCAGTATAACAGAGGCCACAAGATTTTAAATTTTCATCCTTGACCAAAATTTTAGTTTGAGGTGACATATCATTTATAACAAAAGAGAAGTAATTCCAAGCCACTAGTCTTGCAAACTTCTATGATGTATGCCATCAAAATCTCACGTCTCAGTAATTAGCACTATATTGCGGCCTGTATTTTCTGAAAAGGTTGTTCTCCAGCCTGGATTTGCTCACATTTCATTCCGAACCTCTCAGCTTCTAATAAATCAGTTAGTGTCTAACAGTTGTGGTTTTATATTTCTACTATTTTTTCCAAGGGAAGTCATTCCATATCAACCGTGCCACTACACTATAATTGTCGTCTGTCCCATACCAAGCAAGTCTTAAGATAATCAACTCAACTATAGGTAATACCAAATGAGTTTGTCTTTACTGCGAATCAATTAATCTGATTCCCATTTCAGGATAGCTTATTACAGTTTGACATCTATAATGGCAAAGCAAATCCTTACAAATTATAACAATTTACTTTCTGAACTTCATATTACCAAGGCAAGAAAAGGGGTGAGAAAGACCCTTATCCATGTCACAAGTCACAACCAGTGTTATCAAAGGTGCACTTAAGCCCTGAAGCGAGGCTCAAAATGAGTTGAGCGCTTCGCGTCACTTTATGTGCACTTCAGTGTCGTCATCAAGGTTCTAAAACATACTTTTCCTTGTGAATGAACATTTCCTGAAGAGACGACGCTAAACCATTGATATTTCACTTTATCATAAAAACAATCAATTTCTTTGTATATATATTTGTTATTCATGTTTATAATTATTAGTCTTGGACTAAACATATATATATTTGTATGCTTTCTCCATTTGCACCTTTTCTCAATAAATAGAGTGATTTTTGTTTAGAGTGATTTTTGTTTTGGGTCAAGATGTGATGACTTGCCACATCATCATACCACTTAGGCACGTGGCATAAGATTGTCCACTGTCCATGTGGAAGGGCTACATTGGAAGAAGAATAGTCCTTAGTGGAATATTCTAGATAAATGCAGAAATTTCCCATGGTAGATCCTAAAATGCCTTAGATTTACATGGAAAGTCTTTGGAATATTCTAGGGTTGTAGAGTATTCTAAAGTAGGGGTTATTTGTAAATATATAGGGACTTGTGTAGCAATTATTATTTACACATCAACCCCTAATGAGTAGTATAAATATAGGGGCATTCATTTGTAAAGGCATCAAGCCAAAGCAAGCAATCTTTCAAGCAATATAAAAGTCTTCTAACGAATTTTCTTGTGTCTTTCTTATTTCTCGCAGTCTAATTTGAAAAGGCTTACTTAAGCTTACAAGATTGTGAAAGATTCGTGAGTAAATTGTCAAGCGCCGCACGAAGTGCTTAGTTCGAGTATAAGTCTCTGACAAAGTGGTATCAGAGCAAAGGTTAATACTAAGGGAATGGCAAAGGAGGGAGACATCAATGGTACTAGCAACACCAACATTAGGCAGGATGATGGAAAGAAGCACCAAAAGGGAAGAAAGGTATTGTTACGCGACCCTACACCAAGCAAACCGCTAACATCCCACTCACCTTCAGCCCTGAGGCAAGTGATGATGAAAGTGGGGAGCAACCCATAGATGTCACACCTGAAATAGAGTGGAACGCAAGGGTTGACATAGTGAGGTAGGCTGTGGAGATCTTAGGCGAACTCTTGAACGAGGTCAATGACAAGTTCAAGACTCTCGAGGACTTCACCATTGAGGAGAATGACAACATCCGCAAAGAGTTGGAAGGGGGTAAGCATGCGAAATATGAGGTGAAGGAAGCCATCACTTTCTTGGAGTGTCGGGCTCATGGATGCATTAAGCACTATTGAAACCATGAGAGCCGAGATGAAAGCGCTCAAAGGTAGATTGAAGGAGGATCTGCGTCGTTCAACAAAGATAGGGAGGTCAAGGTCGAGTCTCCCAAGCTACTAATGTTCAAGGGAGCTCGTGACATGCAAGAGGTGGAGAATTTTCTTTGGCATTTGGAGAATTACTTCAAGTGCAATAGGGTTAAGAGCAACGAGAATAAGATCAACATTGTCGAGTTGTACCTCTTGGAGATGGTCATGATATGGTGGAAGCGAAAGGAATTTGAGATAGTGAAAGGGCTTTGCATCACCAACACATGGGAACAATTCCGAGACGAGTTCTAAGAAGGTCTTCTTTCCTAACTTCTTCTATAAGGCGAAGTGCAAGTTCAGGGAGTTGAAGTAGAAAGGCAACATACGAGCATACATGAGGAGTTCACCACCCTCACACTTCAGATACCTAACCTCATAGATGAAAATATGTTATTCCACTTCATGGATGGTGCTACAAAATTGGGCCAAGACAAAGTTGGAACGACAACAAGTTAGGACTATTGAGGTTTGGACGCCAAGGCTATACTAAGAGCAAGGCGCAAACTACAAAGCAAGATCAACTAGAAAACATCCATATAAATATAGTGAAAGAAAGTCAATGCCTCAAGCACATAAAGGGTCCAAAAGGATAAAACGGAAATACCAGACTAACTATAATTATTTGTTTTTTTTGTTGACAGATATCATATTAGTTTCAAACAATTACTAAAACCAAACAGAAAGAAGCAAAAATCATCTGAAGAAACATTTTCTATCAATGAGCACCCTGATAAGTCTTTGATAGGACTCATGAGTTTCAAGAACGGCATCGTCAAATACATCTCCAATGATAAAATAACATTAAGAGCCCATTTGTACATAACAGTTTGTTTTTTTCAAAAAAAAATTGGTTTACTTATACTTTGTAGTCAATTTTTTCAATCCAACTTGAAGTTCAGATTTTCAAGTTTGAAAAATTGGTTCTAACCACTTTTTCAAGTAAAAAAGAACTCTTCACAAACATTTTAAAAAAAAACATCAAGTGAAGTGCATGTCCAAAAAACACGACTTTATAACCATATATTCTTTTTCAAATTAACTTTAAATAATATTTTTTAAAAATATCATCAAATTCATATCCAACTGCCTACTAAATGTTCTAAAATCTTGTACAAGCATAGACTAGAATGCACTCACTAGATCGAAACCCAGCAGCAAGTTTTCACCACAAGTGAATGAGTTAGATAGCAAGAATTTATTGCACAAAATTGGGTAACCACATTGGCATAGAACAAGTATAAGTTCTGGGTTTTAAATAAAATCATTAGTCATATGCATTTCCTCTTTTTGGGTGGGGGAATAAGAGAGAATTTAGTAGATAGTACTTCTATCTTACCATATCATGCTGAGGAATCCCCTCCGTTATGCAGACAACTAAGTCCAACTCAGCTTCCATGGCCTCCATAATAGCTGCAGCAGCAAATGGTGGAGGAACATAAACCACTGAAGCATTAGCCTTTGTCTCTGCTTTTGCCTCTGCAACAGTATTAAAAACAGGAAGCCCCAAATGTTCTGTTCCACCCTTCTTGGGAGTCACTCCACCAACCTATTAACGCACACAAGCATACATGAGGAATTCAGAAAAAAACAATTTACTTTCTAAAAAATAGTAACAAATAAAAACTATTTTCTAGCCTCAATGACTTTCAGTTTCCCAAAATAAGAGCATTCTATTACAACATTAAGAACAGAACTTTTCAATCAACTCCTGAATAAAATGCACTTATATCTATTGTAGATACAAGTTGTTCATGCATGGCAGTGCATTTTTAACTTCAATTTTATGTCTTCCATAGATACTTCATACATAGTTTTCATTTTCTTCATGCACTAGATATCAATACATCGGAGACGGAAGAAAGGTATCAAAAAGATTTGAGAAAACAAAATGTTATCATGAGAGCAAGAGTTACCTTGCTAAGAATTGGTTGCTCTACCTTGAGAAACAAACAGGAAGCTACTCCATTGATTTTTTTTAACCCTTATTAGAGGACTTCCAACTTACTCCAGTCCAGCCACCCGTGAATTCAATCAATTTACACTCCAAAAGCTTTCATGATATAATAGGCAACTATCTTGTATAATCACTTCAGCTAGGGTAAGTGCAAGAACTAACTGCCCATTTTAGAGCATTTACTTCCCCTATGCTAACTCAAAATGAGCAAGACAGTACAACAAGGAATAATGAATCTTCCTTCTAACTGGTTGATAAAAATGAAAGAGAAGTTACACAAATATAAATTCACGGCAAAAACAAAAGGCAAGTGTGGATCCACAAAACTGTAACCACATCATAGATATTCAAGAATAACATTTCATATGGATCACCTCAACTAACAAATAAATAAGAGAGCCGATGAGAAAGGTGAAAGATGGGATACCATTTTAGTACCATATTCAATGGCTTGTTCAGTGTGGAAAGTGCCGTTTTTGCCGGTGATGCCTTGACATATGACGCGGGTGTTTTTATCAACGAAAACAGCGGGCGGCGGTGGTGGCGATCCAAAGTAGCGATACTGATGCCATAATGGAGAAGCAGATATCGTCGGACTGCTAGGGTTGAGCTTTGTACTCAAGTTAGATATCAGTCTTGTGGCTTGGCGAGCCATGGATTCCGATGCCCTTTCTCTCTAACCAGAGTCTGCTTTGGTGGCGTGGTGTTTAGGTTTTGTGCACCAAAGGAAAAGTCTTCTTTTTCACAGAGCAAAAATGCTCACGAGTTCCTCTTTTCTCAGGGTGTGTATAGATAGTTCGGGAAAATGAGCTAAAAGTGCCTTATAGGTTTCCAATTTAAAAAAAGGGACAAGTGGGCCCCTTTATTTTTTTTCTACTTTTTTATTTTTAATATTAATAAAAGGAGTAAACTAATAACATCTTAAACTAATAACATCTTTCGTAGTTGTCTGGACAACTACTGAAGTTGTCCGGACAACTATTGAAGTTGTCTGGACAACTACTGAAGTTGTCGGACGACTAAAGAAATTGTCCCCACAACTACGATAGTTGTTGGACTAAAGTGTAAAAGTTAAAAGCTTGGGACTATTGAGAAACATCTTTTAACCTAATTAATATTATTTGTCACTTCTACCCAATTTTTAAGACTTGAAGGACTCCTACCTAATTGACTAACTAGTTTGTCCCTTTTAATAGACCTTCCCAGATAGTTCGGTTTATGTATTATTAATTCGATTTATTCATTTTTTACTTTTTGATATGTTAAATTAATAATCAAATAAGAGGATATTTTTTATGAATTTTTTGTTTATCAGTTTTAATCTTTAATTCAATTTTCATTTTAACTAATAAGAAAATGTTTATAAAATAAATGTACACTTCTCCAACAATTTAACAAAGACAAGATAATAGTTTAACTTTACTATACCCATAAATAGAAACAATAGTAACTGACCTGACAAGAATTATACTAAAACAAAGAGAAATTAAGGGGTTGTTTGGTACAAATAATAATAATGCGGAGATTAATAAAGCATGAATTAGTAATACAGGGTTTATTTTTATCAAGTGTTTGGTTCATTGTTTCTCACCTCATTTTGTGTTTGAATTAAAATTCTATAAAAGAAGTTTTTTTCAGTTATATCCCTGAATTATTATGTATTTGGGTCAAGTAGATGATTGCCGGACAATATATTTTTTGTATGGTCTTCTAGCTAACTAGGAGAAGAACAATTTTGTTGTCATGTCTATTTTTCTCACTTGAATTATTTGAAGGTACATAGTTGTCATCTTAATGAATTGATCACTCACAAAATGTCAATTTTTAATTTAAAAAAGATAGACCATCTAGTTTTAAAATCGAAAAGACAGTAAACAATAGTAGAATCGAATAAACCATCTACATTTGTCCTTAAAAAGAATGCAAGTTGTAATTTAATATGTATGCAATTTTATAAATTGTTCAAAATATAAATAATTAGAAAACCATATTTACCTTTTTTATTAGTAAATGTTAATCAACTCACATTTCAAATATTGTATTGAATTTATTTAGCAACAAACGACTCTTTCTAAATAATTTGTAAGCTAATTTATTTAAATGAATTTAGTAGTACAAATATAAACATAAAATCAAGAAAATAAATAATATAATTAAAATGATTTGAGGAATAGTTTTGTCTTTACATAAATTATCTCATGGTATTAAATCATTTGTATTACTAATACTACCAAATAGAAGGTATTAGTAATACATCTCATAATACTATGTGCGGTGTATAACTAATTCACGGATTAGTTATACATAGGCCCAAAATTACTACCAAACATAGTATTAAATAATACCATACATAATACATGGATTGTTTATGTTAATACTCCCAACCAAACGACCCCTAAGAGGAATAAAATTCTTACTTTAGATTTTGACATTTTGTATAACGTGGAGTTGTGAACTCAAAGTGAATGTGAAGTTTGAATTGAAGGTTAAAAGCAAATACAGTAACTAATAAGGTATTGAGATTAATATTTAGGACATGTTTGAAAAGCCACAATGTAATTGAAATTTAGTATAATTGGATGTTGTTGCTCCCAATTGCACACACAAGTGTACGTGGTCGCACAAGTAATATAGTGGCTCTTAAAAGAACCGCATTATCGAACCCAAATGACTTGTCGATTAACTATTTTTACTAAATTATACTAGTCTAATTATTTATTTAAGACTGTCAAAAGTGTTTGATTTTTATTTGTAAAGAAAAGAATGCAGGAATGAAATAATAAAATTACTTACTGTGATTTGAAAATTTTCAGGGTTGCAACATGTATAGGGTTTCATGTATCACATCTCATGCATGAATTAACTACGGTTATCAAACTACTGATTTACATGGTTGATTTTATGATCATGGTCTCCCGACCTTTAATCGCCTACTCCAATTAGCTGTCTAACTACATCGTTGAGCAGGGATAGACAGTCCTAATTGGCGAGCTTTTATATTTCATCTTGTTTTGTAACCAAGCTAGGTGTTCGTCCAGGCGTCACTCTTAAATACAAATCAATTCAATTTAATGGAAGATCAAGCTTTTTGTATCTTTTGGTCTATCTACCTTAGCGTCTCCCGAGCTTAAGAGTAGACAAGAGATTTATCTATATGATGTCCAGTCAAGAAATACTAAAACAAGAACACAAAAGTAATTTTAAGTGATAACCAACATCAATTCAAAACAATCGATGTTTGACAATCACCCATAGTCACAAACCCAGAATAAGGGTCTTTAGCTACTAATGTCTGAGAAAAGAAGAAAGAAAAGAACCCTAAAAAGTATTGACAACTTTATACTTTGATGCCGTCTAATTGATCCTCCCTCAAAAATAATTATTTCTATGGACTATTTATAGATATAGAAAACCCTAAATAAAATAACCGAGTCCAAATCAAATTAGGAATCCAAAACCAAAAGAAATTAGAATTTTGTAAAATTTGAGGGTGCCTTGATTAGTTGCCACGTGACATCATGCCTTCCTTTGCCGTTCACAATTCGCAATATGCACTCCTTATATATTATGTATTATTATATTTGTTATGAAACTATAAAATAAGAAGAAAGTAGAGAAGATTTATTATTTCTCTTGAAGTAATTCACAAATCTGATTTACAATGAAAGAAAATCCCTTTATTTATAGGGAAAAGCTGACTTGGTTTCCAAGTAGGATTCCTAACTTTTCTCTAACAAACTCCACATAATAGACATTCACTATAATACAAATATGTTTATAATTAACACTCCCCCTTAATGTCTATTTGATAGATTATATGCTTCGTTAAAACCTTACTAGATAAAATCCAGTGGGAAAAAATCTAGTGAAGGAAAAAGAGTACACATATCTAATAATACGCATTATGTATATGTAACACCCCGTATGCTAGAACTATCAAAATACAGATTTCGGAAGTTGCAGGTCCCATCGACGGGCACCACCCACGGACCGTAGGGTGACCCACGGTCCGTCCTATTGGTCCGTGGTTCACCACCTGCAACCACCTTCAAGAATCCCTAGAAAATTCGGCTAAAGGTCAGCCTACGCCAGGACCTACGGACAGTAGGTCAGACCACGGTCCATGGTCGAGGGCCATAGGTCAGACCCTCAGATTTCAATCTCTGAAGCCGAGCGACGACCGACCAGAACGGACCATCAATCAATCCACGGTCCGTCGGTCTGGTCTATCGGTGACCCCGACAACTTTTAAGTCAGGGTCGTTTGGTCTTTTCCCTATGTGTTGGACACCTAAACTACGTCATTTAACCCCTAAACTACATGGTTTTGCTCAGTTTTAGCCTAGTAAACTAGTAAGAACTTATCCTAATAAATCTTTCACCAAAATAAAGTAAACTTAGAGCAAATTAGAGAGAAAAGTCGAGCAGCCCTAGTTTAAGAACACAACAAGTTCTCGTCAGTTCCAACCTCGAAATCGAAAGATTTCTCCGTGGAATTCGTCACCAAGTATGTGGGATTTCACTAGTGGGTTCCTATCACCTATTAGGTCCCTAGATTTCAGTCAGAATCTTGATTCCCTTAATATTATCTAGACCTAGGGTTTCTTGAATGTTAGAAATTGTTGGGTTTTAGCTATTAGAATGATCCAAATCTGATTATCATATATCTAAACAGATATACATGCTTCAACTTACGAATGACACATTATCAGTTATAATTGTTGCAGTCTTAGAGTTTGCATGTCAGTAATTGAGCTATCCAGTACTTCAGTATTTTAGTCATAATATTGCTTACATACATTCTAATAGGGAGTAGGCTTAGACCGAGTGGACAATGGTTTAACGTACCCGAATAGTCCCAGAACTATGTGCTCATGTAGGTTTATAAGTCCCTCTATGGGCATTACATTTTAGTGATCACACCAGTCATGCCTCTATACCTCTGACAGGGTGTATTAGATCCTATCGATGGGGTGTATACATCATACTTCACATTTAGCTCATGTGATTTTATGTCGGTTATTAGTAGCTTCCACAATCAGGTTATATTGCATTGACCAGGTTATCAGTACAGTTCAATATTCAGTTTCAGCATGTTATAAAACTTGGTCATTGCATTCAGTTCGTTCATGTTTAGTATTTTCAGTATAGTATCATGTTCATCTTGTATTAGTGCTCAGTTATATGCTTTGTTCAATTATGTACATTGTTCAGCTTTATTCTATCCTTGCATGCTCAGTACCTGTCAAGTATTGTCGCATACTATGCGCTACATCTTCTCGTGATGTAAGTTCAGGTCCTTAGCATTCAGATCACGCATAGATTGACTCCCGATCTCCAGTTCAGCAGCATCAGTGGTGAGTCCTCATTCTTCGAGGACGATTGACATGGTTATTTCTTTTCCTTTCAATCTTTCGTTTCAGTTTTGCTAGACTTAGCTGGGGCATGTCCCAGCATCTCTAGTCAGTTAGAGGCTTTATTTCAGACATAGTTAGATTCAGTTTTTATCTTTTGAGTTTGATATTGCAGTTGTCATTAAAATCACAGAGAATAGAAATAGGTATTTCCCCATCATTTCATTTTATGATATGTTTCTAGCTTCCGTACATTATATTTTATTTAGTAATCTTTTAGTATGCTTATGATATGCCAGCTCAGGGTTAGCTTGGGTCACTCATGATCCTAGGTCCTGTGTCTGCGTCCCGGGGGTAGCTTCGGGGAATGACAAACTTGGTATTAGCGCATTAGGTTTAAGAGTCCTAGGATATCTGAAAAGCCGCACTAAGTAA